TAAACCCTAAATCTCTAAACCCTCAACCTCCCGATGGGCCTCACGGCTCTTGGACACGAAGCTGCGGCCATGCTCCGTCGAGCTGAGAACCAGGGCCTGGGTACAAAGGGCACGAGGAGTTGACCCTAAACCCTAAACCCTAAACTTCCTCAACCTTAAAACCCTAAACCCTAAACCCTAAATCCTAAATCCTAAGTCCTAAACCCTAAACCCTAAACCCTAAACCCCAAACCCTAAACCCTGTTTGTTCTGTTCTAGGGTCTTCAGGGTCTGTATAGTTTAGGTGTTGACGCCTGAAGGTTGAGGGTTTAGGGTTTTAGGACTTTGGATTTAGGGTTTAGGGCTTTAAGGTTGAGGAAGTTTAGGGTTTAGAGCTTTTGCGGATTAGGGCGTAAGGGCCGTAGAGGGCAGCAGTGGTGAAGGCCGCCCTTCATCTGGAACGCCTGTGCTGCTGCAGTAAATCTGTGTCTACGGTTTAAGGTTTAGGGTTTAGGGTTCTATATAGGGTATCTAGGGTATATAGGGTTTAAGGCTCATCCGGCGGTTGACGGAACTTGAACCCTTCATCCAAAACCCCGAACAAGATCCCAGGGTTCATCAGAAAGATCCTGGGACAAGTTGTAATATGCTATCCCAAACCCTAAGCCGCTTGTAGCCGATCGGTCTATGCCTCAGTGGCTGCGAAGCACATGCATGATAATATAGTGGCCTTAATGGGGACCATTCTACTATCATAATAGTAATAAGGACCCCCCCCAAAAAAAAACTAATAATTTAGGCAGTAATTTTAGGTCCCTACAGTATTCGGTCAAGGAGGCCGCGTTGGCATCAGAGGGCCGAGCCGAAAGAGCCGCAAAACGCAACAAAATCCCAAAGCCATCGGCCTCAAAGTCTCAACTCTCAACCCATTCCTCAAGAAACCCAAAACCTTAAAGGGTTTAAGGTTTAGGAACTTCAGTCCTCATCTTGGTGAGGGTTTAGGGCTTAGGGCCTTAAGTCCTTATCTTGGTTACGGCGGATGCATTCCCAGCCACCTGCAGTTGCTCTGCGCACTGCTGTCGTTCTGCGACCAACTCGTCCTGCTCCCCGGCTCTTGAGGCAGGTCTAGGATTTAGGGTTTGAGGGCTTATAAGGTCTAGGGGTTTAGAATTCTGTGGGTTTTGAGGCTTTAGGATTTAAGCTTTAAGCCCTAAACGTCCCTAAACCCTACAACCCTAAAACCGCCGAAAACTCTGAACACTAAAACCGAAAGCCCTCAGCCTCCGTCTGCACCGGGACCAGGCCAGGCCCCCCAGGTACCCTTTAAAGGGGTGTCATGTGTTTAGGGTTTAGGGTTTAAGGTTTAGGGTTTAGGGTTTAGGGTTTAAGGTTTAGGGTTTAGGGTTTAGGGTTTAGGGTTTAGGGTTTAGAGTTTAAGGTTTAGGTTTTAGGGTTTACGGCTTGAGGTTTAGGGACCGGCGGTGTCCGTCTGGGAGAGAGCCCCCTTCTGCTACGGCCTTCGAGACCTAGAGTCTCCATCGTCGTAGTTCCTTTTTTGGTCTAACCAGTAACATATTAAGGATCCTATAAGGTAACCCCAAAAAGGAACTACACTGGAGTCCCATCGGTAAACCCTAAAGCCTTAAAGCCCTAAACCCCAAAGCCCTAAAGCCCTAAACCCTCAAACCCTACAGCCCTAAGCCTTCGCGTAAACGGCGTCCTCGCCCGACCGACTGGGTAACGAGCTCGTACTACGTTGCACCTCGACCGATGTTGAAGGCTACCCTAAACCCCGAACCATAACCTTACACCATAACCCAAAAGACATCCCTCAAAGCAAACCATCACCCACAAAAACTATAAAAACCATAAACATGAACAAATAACGGATTCATTGACTTTGGACCCATCAAGTAGGCATGAACTTCATACTGAGAGCCGTCGGGATAGAACAAGCTGTGAGGTCGGGATGGTCAAATGTTTGGCGCAAGCACAGCCCCCAAGGCCTGGAAACCAAACAAACAATGCCACTCTACTGTAGGGGCTTGAATATCCACCTATATACTACTTTGGGGGTTCTTTATTATGAATGTATAATATACTCCAGAACCCGATTCTTATGTTAAGGCCCCTACTCAACGCATCGGCTGCATGAGCTGTTGCTGATATGGGTAGTTTTCTAAAGCAGGGTCTCTTTTGGGGGTCCTTTTTATATGGGTGCCGTACTATTTTGGGGACCCAGAAAAGGCCTAAACCCTAAACCCTAAACCCTAAACCCTAATTCAGAGAACTACCCATATGTCATATGTTGGTACAGTCTTTCGCCTGGAGCTCGACATCCCCCAAAGCTTTGCCAGGCTTTCATTTAGAGGAAACTACAGGTGGGGAGCTTAGGGTATATAGGGCTTCTATGAGGCTTCTATAAGGTATATAGACCTTCTATAAGGCTCCTATAACGGTAACTACTATAAGGCTTCTATAAGGTATATATAGACCTTCTATAAGGCTTCTATAACGGTAACTACCCACCTGAAGATGTCCTAGATTATTGGTAAACTCCAAAAGGAAACATGGCCCAAGCCCGCCAGGTAGCTACTATATAGGGCCCTAGGGGCTCCAGTACCCTCTATAGTAGGTACCCGGAAGGCGGTTAGGGTGGACTAAAGAACTTTGATAATGTAGGGGCCACATACTTGAAAAAGAGCACGCTACACCCAGATGTCTGATTCCAAGCATTGTAAGCCCCACTCTTACATCCCCAAAGCCTGAAACCCTGAAACCCCAAACCCTAAACCCCAAAAACCCCAAGACCCAAGGCCACGAACTCTCAACCTGAAGCCGACCCCGCAAAACCGAAGCGGTAGTCCAGTAGAAAAAGCCGAGTCTGGAGAAGCCTCTAAAACCCAAGTACTAAAACCTGGCGAAACCCTATAACACCGTTCAAAACATCAAAATCAAAAGGAACCAGACCTAAGCCATGCTTTGCTCGTCATGGATGCCTCTTCTTGCAGGCTTCTGACCTGACCCACTACCACTTGGGGAGGATCGTCACTTCTGCTTGCTGTTTCTTGCTTTTGTTTGGGGGTGAGGGGGGGGCATAGGTTTAGGATAAGCGGGCTGAACTCTCCCCCTAAACCCTGAACCCTAAACCCTTAACCCTAAACCCTAAACCGTGGCTTGGAGCTGTTGAGTGGGCAGGGGGGGATCAGGGGATCAGGCTCCATGGACAGCTCTGGCACGGTGAGTAGACGTCGGCCTCTAGGTTTGGGATTTGAGGCTGGGGATTCTTGGGAGTTGTAACTATAATATACCATAACATACTATGACAGACTATATTCTACTATATAGCTATAACATGCTATAATACACTGTAATATAATATATCCAGCAGACTGTTCAAGCGATCAACAAAAACCGAAATTCCATCCGACCACACTCAGAGTGGCCTGGCTGTGAAGTTGCGCGATGATCTCCCTCTGCTTGACGATCAGCGACTGCTCCTTTGGACTTGTCCAAGAGTCGACGACTTGACGGAAATCCCACTGAGCAGAGAAGTCCTCGTCGTCGTATAAGTAGTGGGCCGAAAAGTAGTAGCAGTTGTCGTTGTCGCAGTAACTAGCAGCAGTAGCAGCAGCAGTGGCAGCAGCCAGCAGCTTGCATGGATGGTCAAGGACATCGGACACAAAGATTGCGCATGCCGTAACTTTGCAAGTTTGTACGATCTTTGACTGAAACACTTCAGGGAATACGGCTTCAACCGCCTGGACAGAATGCCTTGTAGCTGCCCGGAACGCAGAATTAGTATAGGGGCCTTAATAATTAGAAGAAGGTTTCGGAGCCCATTATACTATACTCTCTCTCTCTCTATATATATATATATATATATAATTCCCCAAAATAGTATTGGTAATCAATTAGGCCCCTAATTATTCAATGCCAGATTCTACACTCCCCAACCTCTAAACCCTCAGCTCTAAGTTTCGCGATCGTATAGAGACTCGAAAAACGCTTGAACCTACAGCTTCTACGTACCAGCACTAACACCAAAAGTCTATAGAGATTCCCCTGACGAGCAGATTGTGTGCGGTTTCGTTGTTTCTTCGGATGAGCGGGGGGGGGGGGGTTGGTTGCGGTATCTTGCTTCATGGTTTCGCGCTACTGTCTGACAGGTGTTCTGTGTCTTGCGGGTGTCTGCGGCAAAGCTCGGAAAGCACAGCAAAGTATTCATAACCATGAACTAAAATAATAATATTCATGTCGTTAAACAATGCCCATGAGCCAAACAACAGCCAGACTGCTGATGCTAGTCAGCTGGTGATGAAGCCATTCCCCAGGTGGGCAAGCCATGATGCAAATCGCAAAAAATAGCCATGTTAGTGATGATGTAGCCTCAAGCTCTACACAATTGGATGCTACAACCCCGTAGCTATGCCAAGGTCTAGGACTTGAAGAACGTTAGGTTCTTAAATCCGAAAGCCAGGTGTGCCTTGCTGATCAGGACCGGCTTGGCGACACAGCGCACCTGTGACGCCTCATTGCGTTGGTTCAAGGGAAATGTTCTTGAAGCGTAACTTTAAGCACATTGATCCAGCTTAGGGTAGAGGCTCTAAGCAGCACCGTATGTATGTGTATGTGTATGCGGTCTTAACAAGACATGGGCTTAAGAGTTTAGGACAGTTTAGGGGTTGAGGCGTTAGTGGTAGGGGCTCCGGGCGTTGGCTTTTTGTGGTAAAGGGGTATATCTTAATCAAGCCGTCAGGACCGTCGCAAGAACTTATCAGCCTTGCTCAAGACTACTGGCACTTCCAATATTTGAGAGTCTGTGTGGACCAACGCACAGACACCTAGTTTCGGTCAGGCGCCGAAACTGCAGCAAAAGTATGCGCAGGAACAAACAGTACTGGCCACAACGATTCCGAACTACACTTCTGCCCACCGTGAAACAGCTTACAGGTGGTGCACATGTCGAGTGCACGAGTTGTCCTGCAACCAGACGTGTTGAACACAAGGTTAAATTCCAGTCCAAGGAGCCTTCTGCGCAAAACGCAGCGTCGTGAGGCTTTGCTCAACAGCATCTGCTGCTGGGGTCAAAGTGACCTCAGGTACGGCTCAGGGTTTGGAGTGCAGAAACCGCGACCACATGAAGCTCTAAGCCCCTAACCCCTAAACCCCGAAACCCCAAAACCCCAATATCCAAACCCCAACCCCTAAACTCCTAAACCCTAAATCGAGTGCATCTTCCATACTAAAAACCCAAGGTTGGTACCCTTTCATGACAAGCAAAGGACCTTTCCCCTAAACAAAACTGAAGCCACCTTGTAACAGTCCCTAACCCTAAGGGTCCAAGTACCTAATAATCATATACTCTCCCAAATATTAACCGAGAAAACTACTATCCGCAACCAAAGTACCTTATTATTGGGTCCTTTGGACCCTTAGGGTAACCTAAGGATCCAGAGCCAGCTGGCCAAATAGGAATAGGTACTTTGGGGCCCGGGCCAAGGTATATACTATCTGGGCACTTGAACCCTGAAGGAGTAGCAGTTGCAGAGTCTCATAAGGAGGTGGAGTAGTAGTAGTAGTAGTAGTAGTAGTAGTAGTAGAAGTAGCAGTAGTAGCAGGAGTAGCAGCAGCAGCAGCAGTGGTAGTAGTAGTAGTAGTAGTAGTAGTAGTAGCAGTAGTAGAAGAAGAAGAAGAGCGTTCTTCGACTTGGTTGAAACTGGGGGTGAACCTGGTCCTCAATTTGTTCTCCCCCCACTAGTAGCAGTAGCAGTAGCAGTAGCAGTAGCAGTAGCAGTAGCAGTAGCAGTAGCAGTAGCAGTAGCAGTAGGAGTAAAACCCTGGAAGCCCTTTGTAGAGCCCTCGTCGACCTCTTACGCAATAAAACCTACAACACATAGCAGAAAGCCTGTTTTTGTGTGATGAAACGTTCATCCCAGTTCTAGGTGCCACGCCAACAGTCCGGTCCGAGAGTTGCCGCCGAGATGAACCGACAGGAGCCGGGTCAACCTCACTTGGGCCACAGCTGGGTAGGTGTTAAGGAGCTTAAATTGAGTTACTCTAGTAAGGAAACCCTATAATCTACTAGTATATATATATATATACACACGTATATGTATGTGTGTGTGTATATATATATATATCTCTCTCTCTCTCTCTCGCATTATGGTTGCTTAAACTAAGTTCCTTGATTCCAAGGGTTTACGTAGTTCAAGGGCTGAGGATCTAGGGTTTGGGCTTTAGGCTTGATAACGTTGAAAAAGATTGGAATTTAGAGCCTCACTTGGGTCACAAGGGCTCTTAAACAGGATGTTAACCGGGTTCTGAAAAGTTTCGGGCTTAGAGTTGAGAGTCTAGGTCGGATAGGTTTAGGAATCAACCCTGGAAGGAACAGGATTGGGCGAACTGTCCTGTGGAGCATGGTGAGATGGCCCTCCACAATCGATCGGCCCAGTGCCGCTCACTGCAGCACCACCGCACAGCTAACCCTGAACCCTGACTCCTAAAGACCCTGAGCCCGAAAACCACAAACCCTAAACCTTGAAACCCTAAACCTCGAAACCCCGAAACCCCGAAACCCTAAAGCCTCGAGCCTTGAAGCCGGCTTGACCTCAGACGCGAAAGCCCTACACCCTAAGACCTTTAAGCTTGCCCCTAAACCCTAGTGTTAAGGAGACCCCTTAAAGGGGACCCTTCTAAACCCTAAAGCCCGATACCCCCACAGGCCTAAAGCCGAAAACAAAAATCCTAATGGCAGAAGCCAGAAAGTTGGAACGTGGGTTAAGGAGGATTCGTGCTAGGATCCCTTATACTTAAAGCTTTACCTTAAGGCCATGAGGATGATCATGTTCCAACTTTCTGGCTTCTACTATAAACCCTGAACCCTAAACCCTAAACCCTAAACCTAAATGGAAAACCCTGAAGCCCTACAGTCCCTACAAGCCGAAAATTACATAACAAAAACGAGGTCCTGACTTGGAATCTTCAACCATAGGACCATAAACCCCCTAAGCCCTAAACCCTAGACCCTGAAACCCTGAAACCTAAACCCTAAACCCGAAAATTACATAACAAAAACGAGGTCCTGACTTGGAATCTCGAAAAGGAACGTGGTCGCCATCGTCTGAGGCCTGTCAGGATTTCCTTGGTTATTGAAAACCTTCGGCGTCGAGTATAGGCCTTAGGGTCATATAGGTCGTCAGATCTGACGAGTATGGGATAACGCTTAAATGAAGGGTCTCGGACAATCTCATCTGGCTGAACTTCAAAATGAAGTCATGGAGTCTTGCGGGGGAGCTGAATGTGTTGGGCTTTTCTGTGCTGGGGCTGGGGTTTAGTAAATTTAGGGCTCATGTGCTAGACTGGGTGAAAAGGAATTTGCAAAAGGTTTTGGGGACCTTCAACAATTGTCGACCCTGAAACCTGAGCGGATAACGTAGTGACAAGCCACATAAGGCCAGTAGGAGTTGGGCCACACTTCGTATGTTTGCTTTCAATAACCCTTACACTATGCTTTATAAAGCCTTGTCGACCCTTATGGAGAAAAAGAGCCTGCAACACTACAATGTTAATTATGTATTTGGGTAGTTTTCTAAATTAGGGTCCCTTTTAGGGTCCTTATTATAAGGGTGCCGTACTAATTATAATGGGGACCTAAAAAGGGATCTTAAGTTGGAGAACTACCCATTTACAGAGTTCAGGACCAATGCTCAACAGCTTAGCAGGCCCATACCTGCGCCGTTCCACGGCCAGCGCGTGCTGCCAGCTTCTCGATGACCTGCACCGATTCTTGATCCCAAGTATGGGGATGTGGCTGGGTAAGACGAGTTGTACTAGGTCGCACCAGGGGCGTGTGCTAGAATCATGAATTCGTTGGTGTACGTTTGACTTGATGCCACCTCCCCTCAGACACGCAGACACGCACGTTTCCATGTGTTACCACCCCGTGACCAATTTCAAAAGCCAGCCATTACATCTACCAGCGGGTCCATATATCTGTGTTTTTATCCGAATGAAAGCTCTAGATGGATGTATCCGGTTTAACGCCAAAGTATCTGTATTCAGGGTTTAGGGCGTTGGGTTTCTATACTAGCAATTGCTAGTATGGTTTGGGATGTTCCCTAAACCCTAACCCTAAACCCTAAACCCTAAGCCCTAAACCATGGTTTGGGCAATGTATCCTCCAGGTACCTATAGGACCCTGTAAAGAAGGCCCGAAAGCTCCAAATCGCCGAAGGATCCGCTGTAGCAAAGGTCGGTGCGCTTGCTCTAACCCTTATAAGCATCAAAACAGCCCACAAGCCTTATATAGTAGGGTCTTTGGGCCCATAAAGCCTTAAATATGGGTCCTTTGGGGGTCCGGGCAAAGCATCACAGAATAGGCTCTTAGGCTATAAGACTCGAAGAGCCCGAACTCTAAGATGCTGAAGTCGAAAATCCCAAGCTCCGCACTCTGAAGCATAAGGCAGGCGTTGTTTATGGTGTTCGCATGCCCCAGGATCCTATATTGCAATGTTTTCAGGGGGTGTCGAACTCCGTTAGTAGCGCGGTAGCTTTGTCGTGGGGCCTTCCGCGGTTGTGTTTTGCTTCTGGTTTAGGGTTTAGGGTTTAGGGTTTAGGGTTTAGGATTTAGGGTTTAGGGTTTAGGGTTTAGGGTTTAGGGTCTATGTCCAACATCTCGCTGCTACCGCTGCTGGCAGTTGCACCATTGCCGTGATGCCACATGCTGTGCTGCTGGCAAAGCCAACCGCATCTGACATTGGGCGTGTCCTTGCACAAACCCTAAAACCCTAAGCCCTCAACCCCTAAACCACTCTGATTCGTGCAATGCCCTGAGCGAGGGCCATCTGGGTGCATTTAAGAAATCAAAGGATCCCTGTCTCTGGTTCAAACAGGTTTAGGGTTTAGGTTCTACGTAACCCATAGGGCCCCTTAGGTGGGGTGTATATGAAAGCGTAACAACTTTGATCAAGAGGCCGAAGGATGAATCCAGATAAATATCCCGACGTCTACCTCAAGGATATACGGCCCCTGGTTGTAGGAGTACAGGATCTAAGAAACGCCTATGTAGTTTTAGGCTCTTGCAAGCTGTTCGCTGTACCCTAAAAACTCATCCAAAGATCTGACGGTTCTATGACAAACTATCTTGAGACCCCCGGTTGAACTTTCATAATACCCTAGACCCTGAATCCTAAACCCTATACCCGAAACCCTAAATCCCAAACCCTCAATCCAAAACCCTAAATCCTAAACCCTATACCCGAAACCCTAACCCTAAATCCAAAACCCTTGAAACTTCTTCTGAGCTATCCGAAAAGTCTTCAAGCCAAGTGGGTGTAAGCTTCCTGGTTCCCGGCATTTGGGATTCAGATCTTCTCTCATCTCTCAGTCTTCAACCATACAGCCATAAACCTTACTTATACCGGATTTAGGATTTAGGGTTTAGGGTTTTTAGGATTTAGGGTTTAGGGTTTGGGGTTTAGGAGTTAGGATTTTCAGCGAACCCCAGAAAGTTGGAACATGGAGTTAGGATGATTCGTGCTAGGATCCCTTATATTTTCCCTTAAGGGTACCAGGAGAATGACGCTCCAACTTTTCTGGCTTCTACTATAAACCCTGAACCCGAAACAGAAAAATCCTAAAGCCCTACAGTCCCTACAAGCCGTAAATAACATGAAAACGAGGTCCTGACTTGGAATCTTCGACCATAGGACCATAAACCCCCTAAGCCCTAAACCCTGAAACCCTGAAACGTAAACCCTAAACCCCCAACCCTAAAACCGAAACCCTAAACCCTAAACCCTAAACCCGAAACCCTAAACCCTAAACCCAAAACCCTAAACGCCCTCAAAAGAGCAGGGCCTTGCCCAAGAAGAACAGGGACTTGTTGATACTGCTGGACTCCGCAACGTACTCAGTGCCGGCCTGCCAGTACCCAAAGGATCGCTATAGGGCATATTTAGGGTTGTGTTGTGTTAGGGTTTGAGGTTTAGGGTTTAGGGTTTAGCGCTTAGACTAGTATCATTACAGAAGGCTCTTAGTTACAGATATTTGGGCCCCAGAAGTACATACTATACCTGTCGCTTGGACCCTTTGGGGTAGCAGCTTAGCAAGGCGTGCTCCCTTGTTCAAGCGAGGAATGTAGGTAAGGGATCCTCATTGTGATTCTTTCAAAGGTTTTTCCGGGCTACAAGTACTCCTGAAATGATGCAGCATTTTGCGTCTCCATGCCAAAATTCATAAAGTTCTACGACTTGTGAAGAGCAGTTTGCTTTACAGAAAAGACCCTTGGATAAGTTCGTAATATGAATTACAGAACTGTATTTCGATAAACCAACATACTGATATACACCCCCCCCAGAAAACTCCTTGCACCCCGACAACAGCCTATGAAATACTGTTTATGACTACGGTACTGCAAAACCCTCAGTAGGGTCAACATAGGTGCCTTTATCATTAGAAAAGGGTTTTGAGGTACAATATACCATACATTATACATATAATAAGGAACCCCACAATGGTATTGGTAATTATTTAGACCCCTAGATTGTCGAAACCTTCTAAAGTCCTGAAAGTTGCTTTCCCAATAAGCCACGAAAATAAAATCTTAAACTTTCACATTACTACAAAATTATAAGAACCCCAAAGGTTTGAAGTTTGGGTATTGGAGAACTATATAAGCAAACAACCCGTACAAATCCACCCGTCGTCGATCCTAAACCCTAAACCGATGCTGTCCGAGTCCAAGTCCTCCAAGCGTTCGTTCCCGGCCAGGTCCACGATGACCAAGCGGCCTATCCGGGTGACCTGTCCCGGAGTCTCTCGTTGTTTGTGCTTGTTGCTTAATCTAGCGGCCTTAAGAAATTAGAAAAGGGTTTTGGGGTATGTTATACTCTCATTATAATAAGGAGCCCTTAGAACAGTGTACTGTACCCCTAAACTCTGAACCCTGAACCCCTACACCCTAAACTCATGGTATGTGTTCCGTTTGCTTGCTTTGTTGGCTTGGGAGTGTACCGTCTTATGTTAGGGCTCATGGTTTTGCGGCGCTTGGGGTCTAGACTCAAGAGGTGGAAGCTCAAGGTTGCGAAGGGGGGGGAGGGATGGTCAATGGCAGTCGGAATCTCCAGCTTGCAGGGGCTTGGCCTTTAGGGTTGAGGGTAATGCTGGCTGGTAAATCACGGGTGCGGGGATGTAGGGTTTTGGGCTTATGGGTTTAGAATTGATCGTTTCGCCCCAAGGTCCACGATGCGCTTAAAAAAAACCTTGAACTCTGCGATCACTGACAGCTCGCAGCACTGGTATTTCTGCGACTCTTATTCTTAGTATTAACATTATACTGATATAAACCATATTTTATCAGCATGATGATGATGGTTATTACTATTGCTATTATTATAGTTACTGTCAAAAATTGTTGTTGACCTGAGGAGCCCTGGGTCCACAGGATCTTGCAGCCTAGAGTGAGCAAGGGATCTTGCAGCAACTGGGCTTAGGGTCTTGGAGCTTTAGAGCTTTATACAGGGTTTTAGGGTTTAGGATTCTACCGTCTAGAGTTTTTAGGGCTTTAGGGTTTTTATTCGAGTTTAGCGTTTGGAGCTTTGGGGTTTTAATGGGGTTTTAGGGTTAAGGGCTCCATTCATGGTTCGTCGGTTTACGGTTTGGGCAGCAGCTGGAGGTGGGGATTACGTAGCTCCTGGTGCTGACTACCAGGCCTCTTCACTGTAGGTTCCTACCCACTGCTTGAGGAAGGAATATACGTACAGCTGGAAAATAACGGCTGTACGTGGAAGAATCTGTAGAGGGATATTTGTTATTTTGGAGTTTCAACACGCATACACTAGGAACCTTCTCTCATAAAGATCCCAAGCGTAAAATTGGGACTAATCGGCTAATCATGTCAAGACAACCCCATGTTTCACAAAGCCCGATATGCACCGAATAAGACCTCTTAACAAAAGCCCCAAAACAAGGCTACAAAAACACCCACATTTCAAGGTTGGTTGCAACCCTACCCCCAAAGCCTAAACCCCTAAATTGTAAATCCCTGAGCCCTAGACCCGTAAAGCCCTGAACCACTGAACCCACGAACCCATACTATAGGGGCCCTAATACCTAGAATAATCGGGTTTTGGGGCCCAATATACCAAAATTTTAATAAGGCACCCCCCCCCAAAAAAAATAACATAGCTAATTATCCCTAACCCTCCAGATACCTATATAGGGTCTAGGGGCTCCAGTACCCTCTATAGTGGAGGGTTGCGGTATTAAGGCTCCTACTTGGAGGTTCGTGGGTAGTTATAAGTGGGGTTATAAGTCCCCTAGTTAGGGTTATAACTATAGTTACCCTACTTATAACCCCACTATAGTTACCCTACTTATAACCCCACTTATAACTACCCACGAACCTCCAAGTATAGTAGACCCGAAAGCTCTCCGCTACCTGGGCTGGCTCGTTATCTTCGCCCAGAGGGGCATCCGCCTGACACTGCGATGAAAGTTCGGAGGTTTTTTTTTTTTTTAAGTGCAGTGGCTCTTCGGAGGGTTTAGGGGTTAGGGTTTAGAATTCAAGGGTTTATAGGGTTTAGGTTAGGCCTTTAGGGTTTAGCATGTCAAGGTTTAGGGTCCACATATGCTACGTCCCGGAATACCATTCTGATTGAGGTGTTAGGGGCCTGATTTCATAATGGTCGTGTATATACATACATATATATATATATATATACATATATATATATATACGTATGTATGAAGCCTCTGGGACTAGGATGCAGAGCTCACCTGAACCCTACGACCCAACCTACGTTTTGAAGCTTCTTTTGGGGTTCAGGGCCCAAGGCTCAAGGATTTAAAGAGGCTGCAGCTTAGGATTCAGGCCTATATAATCCTAAACCCCAAACCGTCAGAATCTCTGGCCCAAAGCACACCTAAACGCTAAGCCAGAAACCTAAACTAAACCCTAAACGCTGAGACGTATACTGTCATATACTGTCTAGGCACTTGGACCCTTCGGCTCAGTCATTCTAACGCAAAGCAGCAGTACCACCCCGGGCAGGCTCTCGTACTCGTTTAATCATAGCCCGCACCCTCTAGAAGCTCTTAGTTTGGGGTTTAGGTTGAGGGTTTAGAGTGCCTTGAAGGAAGCCGGCTTGAATGGGACAGGGACGCGCAGTGCTGGGGTTCCCTGTGCTTGACCATCAGGACATAGACACTAAACCCTAGATCCCAAACCCTATATAACTCGCTGGCGGGTCGGGTAAACTGTGAAGCTATGGTTGACTTCTTGCCAGGGGCGGCTGTCCTTGGGCTTCAGGATTAGGGGTTCAAGGTTTAGGGTATACTTTGATTCCAACGGCCTATAGCCTATCAGTAAAAGGTGCCTTTGTTATCATACCTTGTTGTCGGGCTTGAGGCTACAGGAACGGCTTAGAGTGTAGGGCCGTCGGAGTCCAATTACACATGTAGTGTGTGTGTGTGTGTGTGTGTCTGTCTGTGTGTGTGTATTTCCACTCACATGTACATATATATATATATATATATATTGTATATATATATATATATATATGTTCGCATGTACTCCGGCCTTGTGTGTAGGAGCAAGCCAAGTTCTCGACTTGTTGGATCTATAATGAGTTGGGTACACATCATAATGGGCTCTAAGCAAGGGGACATCGGTGCGAGTTACTACACAGGAGCCCTTCAAAGAACCCTTCGACGGGGCCTCCAAAGGCATGGAGCACTCCACGCAAAGTGTGAGCAGCGTGTGAGACCGAGAGGAAACCTCAAGGAGAGGACTCTCCCTAAACCCTAAACCCTAGACCCTAAACCCTAAACCCTAAACCGTGACTCTCCCCGGGTCGAGGAGATTGAAGGGCCCCTGAAAGTGTCCTAACATAGGAGCCCGATTTAGAAACCTCGGGTCTTTATAAGGGTTCCTTAAATGGATCCTAACATTTTGGGGATTATAGGACCAGGGACCAGGGTTTCTTAATCAGGTTCCTACATTATATTGGCTATCATAGAAAGTTTCTTGTAAGGTCTCCTAGAAGGGTGTGTGGTTTATCGCTTTACGGTTTGGGATCTTGACATTTTCGCTGTTAGAGACCTGGGCGTTCATAGCCCCCGAACCCCGAAACCCTAAACCCTGAACCCCGGACAAGACGTGCACATCAGTGATCGAATCCGGGCCTTTGGGAAGTGGCATGCAATTTGCATGTTAGGGAGTTCGACTATAATTAAATCATAACTTTGTGATAACACTTTGGAATATCTAGGCTCCCTTAGCTCTCCGGTGTTCGCGCAACATAGGATCTTGCAGCATGTCGTGGTGTGGTTATAGAGGGACCCGGCACCCTAAATCCCTCACCCTTGCAAAAGCCCTCCGGAACCTAAACCCGAAGCCATAAACCAAGCCCTGTATTGCACACCGACGCCCCGCGGAATGATCCTTATTACGCAGCGGTTTGGGGTCTGGGATGTAGGGTTCAGGGTTTAGGGTTTAGAATTGCGGCATTCAGGGGCCTAGGCGGGCCCGGAACGCTTAACCCCAAAGGGTTTAGGGTTTAGGGTTGTGAGGTCACCCTGGGGGCTCCATTGAAGCCTACTTGAGCGGGTGCTGGTTCGGTTTACGGCTTAGGGTTGAGGGTTCAAGGTTTAATAAGCCCCATATGCCCTAAACTCAAAAAACCTTCCCCAAACCTCCAGGTACCTTCTATATAGGGCCCTAGAAACTCTAGTACCCTCTATAGCAGGTACCTGGAGGGTTAGTGTTTCACCTTGAGGCTTAGGGTGCAAGGCTTAAGCAGATCAGGGTTTCCCTATAAACCCTAAAACCGGTTCGGGGTTGGGTTTAGGGTTTAGGGTTTAGGGTTTAGGGTTTAGGGTTTATAGGGTTTGGTTTATAGGGTTTAGGTTTTTTTTAAGTGTAGTGGCCTTTTGGTTTAGGGTTTAGGGCCGCCCTGCCTCGTTGTATCGAGTATGGGCCACGCGCCGCCTCTTCTCGGCCTCTGTGAAGATCGCAAGGACCTTCAGACCCAGATCTGGGGTTTAGGGCAGTTTAGGGTTTAGGGTTTAGGGGTTTGAGATTCCTAAGGGTTTAGGGTTTAGGGTTTAAGATTCCTAAGTAACACATTGGCCTTCAGTTCAGAATTGAATAAGCTTCCTTTAAGGTTTCCTCGAAGAGTTCTATAGGAACCGCCATGCACAGAGAGGACCCTAAGCAACATTTAGGCTGCGATGTCAGCTGTTGTGGGGGCATGTTTACTCAAACCCAAAGAGCAGTTGCTGCATGGAAGCCCAGATTTGTACTATGAAGTGAGGCTCTTTTGGTATGCAGATGAGATCCTCAAGAAAGCCATGCAGCTCGGATCCAGAGACTGCAGCCCTGTAGGCAACAGTGAGACGATACTTACAGGAATCACACATAGCAAACGACGAGAAGACCAGCACAGCACTGAAGTGCTCACTCTCCCGCTCTCTACCTCTAACTCTATGCGTGCATATGCATATATAAATATATATATATATATATATATTATATGCATATGAGAATATATGCATATCTCTATTCCAACAATGAAGAAATGAATCCAAGGCGAAAGCGCGATTTCAGCTTCTGCATGCAGGGGTTTCGGGTTTGGATTAGGGAACTAAGGCTGGACATAGAGTTTCGGGGCAAACGGTGTTCGTGTATATCAACCAAGTAACGACTTGAAGTCAGGGAAGTATTCCGACTATGTCAGTGTCAGGTGGTAGGCTTCAGTCTTCATCTACCGTCTCCGAATTCTGAAGTTTTCGTACCCGGCACCCTCAAACCTGCTACTACATCAGTGTCAGGTTGCAAGCTTTAGAAGCTAGTCAATATACTACCTTATACTGTATTATACTATATAAAACTTGATAATTTTTCAATACTAAGATACACTATATTATACTATACTACACCGTTCTGGCACATTTAGACCGAAACCCTAGAGCTGCAAATTGGGCTCCCACTTCGTCTGCAGAGGACACGATTTTCTCTTTCAGCCCGTCGGCGTAGAATCCTCGACCTCCCGAGGGTTTAGGGTTTAGGGTTTAGGGTTTAGGATTTAGGGTTTAGGGTTTAGGGTTTAGGGTTTAGGGTTTAGGATTTAGGGTTTAGGGTTGCGCCAGGCATAGACCCGGCTCAGGGTTTACTCAGAGCACTGTAGGGGCCTTAGGGTCTGGGGCCTGGGGTCACACGGCTACATTCTAATATGGGGTTTTCGAAAATAGGGGACCCTAATATAGTACCCTAAATAGTAGGATCCTTATTATAAGGACCCCCAAAAAAGGTACCCCATATAGGTATAAGGAACCCCCAAGGCACAGGCACAGCATTGGTATTTATCGAGGCTTCTACAATAAAGCCACGACGATTACTGCGACAAGTACCACCCCTGTCGCCCCATATAGAGGGTCAAAAAGCTCCTGAGAGGAAGACCGAGGCCGCAAACCACTAAAACCCGCAGACCCTTAAACCCGAAGGACCGGCGCTACCTAGAGGCTCACACCCTACCCCTGTTTTAGGGTACCTACTTTTCTTTATAACAGATCCTAGCTAAAGACCTAGGTACGCTAAAACAGGGGTAGGGTATGAGCCTCTGGGTTTTGCCTTCAAGCCGAAACCCTCAAGCCCAGCACCATTAAACGGTTTATTGTTTGGGGGTTTAGGGTTTGAGGTTTAACCTTAAAGCCCGAGACACTCAACCTCCAAACCCTTGCAGTGAGAAACCTTTAGCAAACCCCGCAGACTCCACCCGAATCCCCAAACCCTAAACTCGATCAGGTGTTCTTGAAATTCGAGACCTTAGACGAGGAACCGACCCTGCAAGAAAAAAAGTACGGAAACACAGCCCTAAACCCTAAACCCTAAACCGCCCAAAACAAAGAAGCACCTTCGGGATCTTCCTTGACGACCAGATTCTGACCTGGGGGGGCGAGAGGAGGAGTACCGGGTTCCTTCACAGAGGCGTTTAGGATTTAGGGGTTTAGGGGTTTGGGGTTTAGGGTTCTAGTTTAGGGTCGGGTTTAGGGGTCAAGGGGTTTGGTGTTGAGGGTTCTATGACCCAGAGGGTCCATATATACTGCCGGGTTTCGGCCCCAAGCGGCCAGCCTAATCAAGGTTTCGGCTGGCCTGATTCCGCAATTACTGTGCATATGGACTCTTGGCAACCCTCTGGGTCTATCTCCCCCTCTTGAGGCTTCCTTGAGGGCTACTTTAGAGGTTCTTTATTAAGGGATGTTGCTGGAATTTGTAAGGTTCCGGCTAGAGCCCCATGCAAGCCTTAAAAAGTGACGCTTATGTTTAGTGTTTGGGTAGGGTTTTACTGCTTTTAGGGCCGTAGGGCCATCGGGCTTGAGAGATTCAGAAATTTCGGGCTTCATGGTTTTACCCTAAACCCTGAACCCTAAACCCTCAACCCTACACCCTAAACCCTAAACCCTAAACCCTAGACCCTAAACCCTAAACCCTACACCCTAAACCCTAGACACTAAACCCCAAACCTTCTAAGCCCCAAACCCTTAGGGCTCCCCTGTAAAGGAACCCAGGCCTGAAACCGCTGGGTTTTAGGCTTGGGGTTTAGGGGTTTAGGGGCTTAGGGTTTTAGGGGTATAGGCTATAGGGTTTTAGAGTTTGGGTTTAGGGTTTAGGGTTTAGGGCTTTAGAGGTTTAGGGTTTGAGGGTTTAGGGTTTAGGAGGGTTCAGGGGTTTGGGGTTTTGGGTTTCCCCCTTTAAGGAGCCCTGAAATCCTTAGCATTAGGGCGACCTGTCTCGCTGAGTGCCCGGCTTTGTGGGCCAATTTTGCGCAAGAGGTCGTTCACCTGGGCGGTTGCAGTTTTTTTGGAGGGGGGATTTTAAGGGTTACACAGTGTTATTTAGGGCTTGGTAGACTTTTGTTTCGGGTTTTCCAAGGTTCTACAAGGTTTGTCCACCTTGCAAGCCGGCACACAAAGACATCAAGAATTTGGTTAAGTGAACATAGGCGAGCAAGAGCCACGGACAAAGTATCACACACACACACACACAGAAGGTTTGATCAACTCCCATCTTTAGGCAACGAGACTCAATTTCAATGGAAGTAACGCAAGAGTAAGCTCCCGGACGCGCTCCATGTAGAGCTCACAGTAGGACCTGATTCTCATGCTTTTGGATATCCAGTGGGACCTTGATATTCGGGATCCTTAAGTAAAGAGCCCTAGTTTCAAGGCAGATGCCTTACATCCGTTAACCCTCCTCAAAGGAACCGGTCAATCCCAGCCAAGGCCAAGGCATCCGAACACCCTAAACCCTAAACCCTAAACCCTTAACCCTAAACCCCCAGCCAAGGCCAAGGCATCCGAACTAAATACTCCACGCCGTCTGGGGCCGATGCCTCGGAGAGCGCGGTGAAGGGTAAGGTGGATTCGTTGCTGGTTTAGGGTTTAGGGCTGAGGCCCTGAACCCTCAACCCTAAACCCTAGGCTTTAGGGTCAAGCGCTTGCAAGAGAAAGCTGATGCCTTGAACAGGAAAATTCGAAAACTTCAAGAACGATCCTGAAGAAACCGGATCGGAAAGCGCTCCGATGACTTCTTACAGAGCTTGAATCATGAAGCCGACATGCCGTAGCTGAAACTGAAACTGACTCCAATGCCTTCCCCTTCTTACGGTTTTGGGGTTGAGGGTTTAGGGTTCCTGGCTTCCGTACAACAAACTTGTGGTAGTGTGTTCA